CGAGGCACATCATGGTATGATTTGTTACAAAAATACATGTATAGATTTGATTTGATAAAGATTTGCTTTAATTTTCGTTCCCAAGGTAATGAATACTTTTAGTTGCATATAAATATTCATACTAACAATCTCACTAATTAAGGACTAGTTCTCAATAGAGTTGAAGAATTAACAAACGAATACGAAAAGGAATTTCTCTGGTTGCAGCAAAATATGTTTTGTAGAATTTTTCTTTTGTTGCCTTAACTCTTCTCCCAACTTGCTGTTGTTTAACTAGAAATATTATAAACAAAATAAAAAGGAAAAACTTTGTCTATGAGACGCTCTAGAAAGAAGGACTATTTACGGATATGGCCATTAGCAGCAATCATTTGGCACAACTCTCTAAGAAATATGTTGATCTAAAGTTGAATCATAAAGTTTGACAAAATATATACAAATAGAAAGGAAACAATGTGAAACGTTGCAATCAGGCGAAACCGACCAGTAAATGGTCTACGCTAATTACCGATGACATTATCAAAGTATCGAAATACTAATTATTTCATTTCCAAGGCAGTTCGTTCTACGGTCGAAACCGGTTCATGCATCAAATTTCATCAAAACATCTAGAAAATAGGGTTTTTTTTTAGATAGAGAACGCAGAATTCAACAGGGACAGGCAAGGATCTATACCAAACGGACAGGCGGACTGGAGCCAGTTGAGAAAATGATTGCCAATTGTCTGATACAATAGAAGCATGTTTACTTCAAGTCATACCGGGCGTTGCATACATCCGTACAAAGTTAATACATCCTGTAGTATGACTTGTACAATAAATAAAAGTATTATGGAGAATCTTGAAGTGCGCTTCAACTACGTATGAAGGGAACATTTGTCAAGAGAAATTTAAACAAATTTCAATTTTTTTCTCTTAAATCAAAAACAGCACATAACATATAATTTGGGCGAAACCCGTAAGGAGAGCATCTTTCAAATGACATTTTCAAGTACATATCTTTAACATGCATACATGCGTAACATACATAAAATGAACTTTCAGTTTATATGAAAGTTAAGTCTAAACAAACTTATACGTATGGAGTTATGTATATATAAAGTTTACGTATATATACATATATACATGATAGTGAGTAAAGGATAAGTGCATGCTTTCGAAATAAAAATGGGAGCACTTAAGGGTTTACACTTTAGCTATAATCGTTATGTTTATAGAGAAGGTTATCTGATTTTTATTTGAATAAAACACAAATATATTATGTCTTTCAGACGAAGTGCTTCGATACCTTCCATCTCTGTATTTACATGTTTTAAAAATCCATTTTAAAAGCAAACAAAATACGTTTAAGTAAAAGAGTGTTGTAATAGTAACATGTTTGGCAAGCGTCATATTGCTATAATGTATTGTAACTGTTACATAACACTTGTGGGAGCAATTTTTTTCACTCAAATATCTCTTTTACTAGAATACATATACACTTATAAAGTAACGTAAGTTAAAGTAATAAAACGTAACATACATAATAGCTTAACAGGAAAAGTTTTCGCATAAACTTAGAAGCAGACATACAAATTTATAACTCTTACTAAATATGGATGGACCTAACAAGCCCTCGCTGACAAGCTGACGTTTTAATTTGAATCTTATCTGGTAAAGCGAATGATCAGAGGCTTTAAGCTCAAAACAATCTCAAGGACGATCTCTTAGTCATGAAAAATTTGCAAAGCTTCGTTGTTTACAATTCTGAAAAGCAAGAGCAAAAGAAATCCGCCTCTTCATCCATCCGGAGGAAAATAGAAAAAGTAACTCAATTAAAGTGACGCTTTTGCGTACACGTTCCAAGAATACTGTCAACCTGAAGAAAAACTTTCCAAGCTTGGCCTCAATATGTGCAGGAACAACCTGACACTTCTGTGTTGTGCTTGCATCTTCTCTTTTATAGAAATTTTGATTTGGTCTATAATAAATTTTTGCTAACATTTACATCAAAATATTCGCTTGCCAACGAAGATTAACTTATATTAGCCATTGGCTAATTTCGCAGAGCGAAGATATGCACCTATAGTATGTTCGATTGCACGTAAATAATCGCAACCATATTGCAACCTATTTCAAGCCGTATTTATACATAGCCAAGTCATCGGCGTAGTATGCGAGCGAACAGGCACTTAAGTAAATTATTACATAACCATAGATTTATAATTTTTCCCGCAAACCTACATAGGGCTCATAATGATAATGAGATCCCACTTACCAAGGGGTACGCACTTCTTTCTCTTTCCTCACTTCTTTCTGAGCCTTGCCATATTACACATGCCATGTTACAAGGGACATCATCTGAGTGATTGGTCATTTAAAAAAAAAAAACAACAACAATGATTAAAAATGCTCTTTTCTAAACATGCTTTGCTGCTGTAATATTGAACGAGGCATAGATGTACGCACGCGGTACGCACGGATTGCATTAAATTAAGTGCATTGAAAATGTGTATATAAAAGTAAGAAACTCTAGAGATAGTTGTGGCTGGCGTCTTAGCTCAATAGTTCCGCAATTTGCTTGTTAATTTTTGATGGGCGTGTCCATAGTGCGATCGCCATTAGGTCTTATTTGATTTTTTTTATAATTCTTCTATGTTCTTCTTCACAATATTTCCATTTAGAATCTTATCGTTTCCATTTTCTTTTTAAATGTGCGTAACCCTTTTAAGCACGACTTTCAGGAAACACCCTTCTTTTAAAAGTTGACATATGATAACATATTATAATATTTTATTTTCAGTTTTTTAGTAAAATATTTACAACCGCAATAAAATTCAATAACGGATGGATGGATGTGTGGACTTTGATTAATTGACTTAGAACCTTGTAACTGAGGCGTACTTTTGGCCATTACAAGACGGACACAAAACTAATAGACCGGATGAGTGAATTTGTTTTCATCACACCTACCACAACGTACACCAATTGTGACAAGGCTATATTAAGGTTGTTCGAACATATACAAAATGATTTCGAAACGTATGCATCCCTTTATTAAATCAATCAAATCCAGAATGGCTCCCTAAATCGATTCAGAATTGTTTTCTAAATTGATTTAGCATTGTCTGTCCGTCTAATCGTATGACATTCGTCAATGTGCTTTATTTTTTTATTTTTTTTTTTTGGTTCAGCATACAATTCACCAAATTTAATGAATTTCGATTCATTGATATTCTTTGGTCCAAGGATAAACTAAATGGAATCATTTATATAATCATCTCCCCTCCAAAATCACATGATTCGGAAGCTCGTTGTACAAAACAATTTGCCATCTTTAATATTTTTCAACAGAAATCAGACATAGTTTACGGACATAGTAAATAAATGTAAAAAATCTGTTCTGCATAGGAAACTTCGATAAACTTTTATGTGACAGCAATGTCCAATTTTTACTTTACTTTCTAAAATAAAAAATAAATTAATAATAACCGATTGACATATAAATTTATGATGCCAAGTGTGGACCCAGCACAAATGCTTTCTCACTCCATTCTCATATAAGAATTCTCAAGGAAAGTAAGCCTTTACATGGCAATGAGATCGCAAGTGAAGAGTAAAGAATTGTATTGCAGGCGAAGTGATGCAGAGTTTATAAAAGTCGCCCTTGCCTGATTATGACTTTTTTAAGCTTGCTTTTATATAAATATTATTACTATATGTATATGTTTTTTAAGTCATTTGTTCGAGTGTGCCAAAATATTTTCTAATGATTACAAATTTTTGTAGTACACTTGAAATATGAAAGTACACAACACTACACATTGAAGCTTTTACTCAAGTGCATTGACACGAATATACGGGATATACGGTTGTGCTGTTCAAATTTTTGTAAATAAATGTGTGTGTGTGCTTGTTAGATTTATATCGTTTATGCAAAAGTGACTTTCTGGGGGAAAATGGACTTTTGCGAAAGACAAAAAAAATTTTACAAATTACCATAGGTACCTTACTACCATCTACCATCGGCCAGTTATTTCTCCTACTCCTACTCCCGTGTATATATTTATATATATATATACATATATATATAGATAAATGTAAAGTGCATGAATGCTTGTGAATGCTAGCAGGACAATAAGGCATAAAACACAGATATATTTAAACACGCATACAAACAAATATGTGCAAATATGCAAAAAAGCCATTATGGTAATAAACTGCTTAACAAGTTTAAATTTCTGCAAAATTCTAACTAATATACGCTACGGCCATATCATATAACGTAATGCGTAAAACCGGGTTTGTTGTAAGTGGTAAAGGGCAAAAGAAGCGAAAGGGAATGAGATTAACTGACTGACTGACTACTCGACCAGTTGACTGAGTTTATGAAGATGTTTAGATGTTTTGTTAGAGAGAGAGAGAGAAAGAGAGAGAGATGAATGAATATTTCATATAAACAGATTTATAACAAAGCGGAAGTAATAATAATCTGAAAATGATGTCAATGCATGAGTTGAAAATTTTGTAAATTGTTTTCAAAGCATAACTGAAGTGAACGAGACTAACCAAGTAATAAACAATTGTTGTCATTGTCCTTGTTGTTGTTGCTGTTGTTGTTGTATACATGACATGTCAGTTAGTCAGTTATAGGGTCGGCTAGCAACTATACATCCAACAAGTATGTGTGTGTGTGTGTGTGTGGGTGCGGACATGAGATTATGTGTGTATGTGTGTGTGTGTGTGTGTGTGTGTGTGTGTGTGTGACAAAAGTTGAAATGTGAGCTAATGTCACAAAAAGACAAATCAGTTGCAATTGCACTAAAACAATACACATTGCAGTTGTATTGCAATAATGTTGCAAATATAAAATACACTCTTAACATAATATAATTTTCGAGGCAAGCGGACCGACCCCTATCGACAAACAAAGGAAGAATAACTGATACAATATAAGTATAACATTGCATTATGCATTTAAAGATAATGTCTTGGGAGGTCTTTTGTGATCCTCTTTCTTACCATACTTTGGCGTAAGGAGGAAACACAATAAAAGTGTTAATAAATCCATGGTTGGCAGTATTATAAAACTGCTGCTGCTGCTGCTGCTGTTGTTGTTGCTATGGGTGCAAATTACGTACGGCTGTCTATTATCTAAAATAATCCACTACGATAATGATGATGTGGGTAATGATGACTGTGTATAATGGCAATCTTGTACATGTTCTACTTATAAAATTGTGCTTAAAAGTTTTTTTTTTTTCTTTTGTTTTTTTATTTAAAATTCTATGCACAATTGTTGCAGGGCTGGGCTGGATTACATTTCACATTAATCCTTTGGGCTGTAAGGATTTTACTTGATTACTTAAAATATTAGCACTTTTTCCTCTCCATAAATATTCCATTCAAAGGGAATTAATGCAAGCATTCATTTTTATAATTTTACTTAATTCATTTTCTTGCATTTCTTTATTTTTATTTGTTTTTTTCTTTATATTTTGTTGTTTTATTTTCCATTAATTTGACAATAAAATGACATCATTCCAGTTATCATTTCATTGGTCGCAAAAAACATTGAAAAGCCTCTTTTTAATGTTAACGTTGTCGTCACATATATATATACATATATATATATATATATATATATATATATATATAAATGAGCTTTAAATGGAATCACTTGCAAACAACCTTAAAAAAAAAAAACCGTTAGATGAATGAGAGACTTTAAAAATGATGTCAACATTTCCGCCAACAACGTATTCACTTAAACATACACATATACAACCGCACTACAACACTCATTTAAGTGTTGCACGGACCACAAAACATAGTAGTCGGTAGTTGGTGTTATCCACCGATAAAAGAAACAAAAGCCAAAAAAAAAAAAATATCATCAAAGACATTCATCAAAACATCTCGTTTACACTTTTACATCTGCAATAACAATATGTAACGAGAACCTCAACTGCTTTACATGGCACGATGATTTCTTCTCCAATTTTCGTTGTTTGGTGTAAAAAAAAAGAAGAAATGAATTTTTTTCTTTTTTTGTTTTTTTCTAAGCTTCTCTATCCTTATACGCTTCACGACACAAGCTGCGCATACACACTAACCGTCATTTCATGTAGCTTGAAATTACAAGTAACCTCGTTTACGTCGCGTCATGGCCGTCCGTTTCTGGCCAACAACCAAAGATGACTAAATCAATGTTTTGCATTTAATGATGAACGTTCGAGTCACTGTCGCCGCACCGCATAGAGTTTTGTCCTTTAAATCTCATTGAATTCGCATGCACACGTGCGTATGTAACGGTACTCTATATGCATATACAAGTATGTAAGAGTATTTTATATATGCGTTATACTTTTCAATTGCGTTCAAATCTCAGCGAAATCACAAATGATACTGAGGCCACTTGGTATCCTGTTAAATCCTTTATTTTGTTGCCCAAAAAAATTTTCTTTGGCTCATTGTCTAGCAACATAAACTACATATACATATTCACCACACACACATACACATATACACCCATACACACACACGCACACGCACACACACACACACAGCAGCAGCAGCAGCAGACATAGGCACATACACCTTGTGTGTTTGTAAGTAAATTTGCTTGCTCTCCTCGCATTGCATGATTGCTGTTAAAATCATCGTCTCCATCACAAGTTTTATTTCATTTATTCGTTCGTAACTTCGTGTTTTATATATAAACTCGTATTTATATATTCAATAAAGAGTCAGTCCCATAAACATGTTGACACAGTTTTTTATTCTCAGGATATTGCAAAATATTGAATTTGTTACACATTGCATTGCATCATACTTCCGTTTTATCTCAGAAAAAGGTTCATTTTACATCCTTTGAGTACTTGCTCTCCTCTTACAAGTTTCGTTGGTACTTTCTCTCTACCTCACTTTCTTCATCTCCGGTTCTCACTATCTTTCTCTCTCCCTCTCCCTCTCCCGTCTCTCTCTTGTTCTTTTTAAACAGGTTGTTGACAAAAAATTGCTTAGAAACATTTTCGTACACCAACTTTGTTGAGAAATAAATTTCAAGGGGTAAACCAGAACTGAAACCTTTGGATGCAAATTTGATTCCAACATATAAAGTTTTTCCATTGAGGGGTACTTGTAGAACAATTGACTTGCTAAAAAAGCTTAATACTCCTTATTATAGTAAATAATTGAGGACAAGAGACATCTATTGTAAAGATATCATGTTCACGTCTTTATATTGAAATTTTGTTAGATTTCCCATTATTT